TGAACATTCTAGCAGCCGCCGACACCTTGTCAACAACCTTCAACCCATCCTTTCTTTCTTTTGTTGAGGATAAGTTTGTGCTAGACTCCCCTTATTCTTAGCCTCTCTTTGGGCTGTTCGCCTCATTTTCTCTATCCTCCACTGGGAGCGAGTCATAAGATTCTTTCCTTTGTAGTTCTCAGACACATAGGTCATTTTGTTGACCTATGGGAATTCTTTTTTGTAGGCTACAGAGGATCCTCTTTCGACATCAAAGTGTTCCCACCTTTGTTGTCCTTATTGTTTAGCCTCGACGAGCCTAGTCCAGGCCCCTTTCATAACTTCAGCTGTAGGTTTAAAGGTAGAGGCCTTTACCCTAGGGCCTCTTTGTTTGTTGTCGTCGAACCTAGAGAATCCTTTCCTGGAGTCGTTGCCCCTCCTTGGGTTGAACCTTCTCTCCCCTTGGGAGGCCTTGTTCTCATGGTTGCACTTAGCCCTTTCAATACTTTGTGCAAATTTCTTGTCGAATACTGCACTACACCTAGGGCACAACATAACTTCTGAACTTTTCCTCTGGCACCTATGAATAAAATCCAACAGATTTTCATCAATCCCCTTTCGGGAAAGCCAATTTATGGTGTTCCTCTTCAATCTCCATTGGAGACTCCTGCGAGATTTCTACCACATTCACCCCCATGTTGACATCCTCAGTGATGTATAAATTTTGAAAAGCTAATTGAAGGCCCCCAAAAACCTTGTCCATTCTTACAAAACCCTTATAGGTTTATTTTATTACCAACATTAATCTGGAGTCTTCCATAACTCCCATTTCGAGATCCTCAGTGATTTCCATGTCGAGGCTCTCAGTAGCCTCAATTGCCAAGTTATCCATCAACTCCTGGTTCAAGTTATTAGTAACCCGAACCATTACAACACCATTGACGAAGTCCTCAGTGAATTCAACCATGTGAACTTCTTCCGGCTCTGTATAGTGAGCATCAGCCCTTTCACTATTTCGACATCTAGATTCATCTGACCCTTTGCCCTCTCGCCAAACTTCAGTTTTCCCTCTTGAATTGCATTCTGCACCAGATCCATGAAAAGAAAACATTGTGAGGTTTTATGACCCAAAAAATTATGGTACTTATAATAGCCTCTTTTCTTTCTTTGTTCTAGAGGAGACATTTTAGCACCAACAGGTACAATCATTTTCCCATCCTTAACTAACAAATCAAAGATTTCGTCATATTTTGTGACGTCGAAAGTGTATGTTTTCTTAAGAAACCTATTGTTAATTTCGATAGGGTCTTTCCCATTCGAGGGTATTAGCATCCTACAAGAGTAAGAAGAGCCCTTTTTTAGTTCAGCAAGATCAATTTCGTTCTCGTCGAAACCTAGGTAATCAGCATATGACCTTTTGTCTTCTTCATTAAAATCGACATAGGTCATCCTCTTATTTTTATTAACCCTAACTTTTTCTTCTTTTAAGCGTTCAAAACTATATCATCAAAAGTAAATGACATTTTGCAAAAAGAAGGAAAATAGAAAGACACAAATGAAAAGCCTTTGGTAGGAAAATTTAGATTTTATTCATAGAATGATAGCACACAAAAATGTAGCTCCATATGGAATATTACAATGGAACAACTAAAAATGTTTATGGGAATGAGGTTTACACTGAATCACAATAACCACTACTTTCCCTATAACCATGAGCCCATGGAACCTTGTTTCTGAAGAGAGCAATTAGATTGATCCTTACTGCTTCTGATTCTTCTGCGTAGATTAGTCTTGCTTGATGCAATATCTTTGCCTTTTAAAATCCGTAACTTTTTCCTGGACCGCTCTTTCGAGTTTTAGTCCACCAAGATGCTTTTTTTTCTTAAGTCGCCCTTTCGGGTTTTTGACCTAGCGAGTTGACATATTTTTTACATCCCTAATATTTCCTGGACTGTCCTTTCAGGTTTTCGGTCCACTAGGATGCCCTTTTTTTTCCTAAGTCTCCCTTTTAGGTTTTCGAATTAGCAGAGTATCTTTTGACTGCATCGGAGTTCACCAGGAGTGAAAATTCTTTACCATCCATAGAGAAGGCTTTTTGACTATGTATGAGCCTTCGTAATTTGGAGTCCACTTTCCGCGTGAATCGTTGTATATAGGCAAGATCTTCTTGAGCAGGAGATCACCTTGTTTGAATTCTAGAGGATATACCTAAAGGTGTGAGAAAAACACAAAAAATGGGGGTTTGAATTGGGCTTTCAAAAATGAATGCTTTTTATGAAACTCAAACAGAAATCACAAAGAAACTAAACAATAGAGAAAGACACACGATGTATCCTAGTTCACTTGAAAACTGTCAAGCTAATCCAGTCCACACGCCAAGGTGATTTTGCCTTATATCCAAGGACTTAATCCAATATAATCATCTGATTACAATATGCACTAGCAATCGCTGGTGACTAAGAACTACAAAGACTAACTGTCTAAGTCTTCTTAAGGATTCTTACCTAACTGGTCCCTTAAGGAATTACAAAGAATAATTTGTGAAAGATAAATGTTTACAATGAAATGCTTCTACTCAAGCAAATATAAACACAATGAATATCTTAAAAAAAACTTAAAGAAAATTTGCACACAATATGAATTTTTTGTTTTTGTGTTCTTGCGTTGTTGTGTTGTTATTCTTCACAATTTTCTTCAAGTTATCAAGTCCTTATATAGCCAGTAAAAGATCCGTTGGAGGGCAGATCAGGAATATCCTTGAGTGAGCTGACGACTTGAAAGAATGTCGTTACGTAGGGATGAAAATCATACACAAAAGTTGTCATTTTCACCACAAAATCAGGGTAGTGGAATGGAAAGTTTTGATATGTACTATGTATTATTTCCCTCGTAAACTTTTGATCTTATCTTCTGTACATCAAAGGCTTCTGGATAGAGATGTTTGAAGCATGAGTAGAAGAGTTGATCACTGGGTATTCAGAGTCTTCAGAACATGTTCACCAGAACCTTGTCTTCAGAATCTTTAGCACTTAGTCTTCAGAACCCTTAGTCTTCACAAACTTAAGTCTTCAGATCCCAATATTTCACTATCCATCCAACGATAGTATTCAACATTAGCAAGAATTTTGACGACATTTTCCTTATTTTCTTGTTATCGTTCAAATATAAGAAATGAATACCATGAGTCTTATATCTTTCTCCTCCGACTACCACATTACTTCCTTAACACTAAATGAGTGCTTGAAGTTATGCTATAAACACATAACACACCTATTCACTTTGGGGTCATCCATAACATTCTCAACAACAGTGAGATTGATTAGGTTGACATCTCAAAAACTAAATCATGCCCTAACATAGTTCATGTTAACACACGTGGGATAAAACTCCATATTATTAGAAGCAAGGTTAATCACTTATCGTTCATTGGTAGAAGAGATATCACTAAGTTCTAAAAAAGGATCTTCTACGAATAAATTTTCTAGGTTCTTCATGTTTGAACTCATATAAAATATCAGAAATAAAAAGGGATAAAAAAGAAACGCCCAAGTTTAACGCAACTTGATCAAAAAATTCAAGTGATGAAGTAATTGATCGAACAAGCAACTTGAATATGAAAATTTCTACCAACAAATACGAAGCAGACATAAGTTTCATATGAAATAGACCATTGATTAAAGAATAATTCAAAAAGTGTGAATGAGTTACAAGTTCCTACTTTATATGAAAAGTAACAACTAGGTTCAAAGACCACGATCCATTGAAAGTTAAAAGAAGCTATCAATCAACCCATATGAAATCTTGAAACATAATTACAATTGAGCGTGCCTAGGCTCGCCATCTTCCTCCCTACGTGTGTAGGACACGCGAATGCGATTGCCGTAAAAATGTTTCATCAACTCAACACATATTTAATGCACATGTTCCCTATGACAACTACTTCCAATAAGTAAGGAGTCTCCGATAAATGAACCTGATCAACATAATCCTTGCTTCATGGATAACAAAAAAGACTTGGGGACAACTGTTTTAGGTTGTTCGACGATCCAAAATACTGATCCAATCCACATACACCAATCCTCTTTTAAGATTCATCACACCACTACACAAGTGGACTCGCCTTGCGCATCACTACACATGAGTGCACATCCCCTTCAATTTGAGCCATTGGATCATCATCCAATGATCATCCACACTCCATGCCATTTAACTCGACGATATTTACATCGATTTCTCATATATAAGTGTGACTCTGAGTCATTCTCAGGTCATTACACACTTACAAAATTCCATCTCAATATCTTAATAACTTGAATGTCATAATATTATTATTATTATTATTTTTTTTACAAATATCCTCTCGCTATATCAAATAACCATCTTAATTGCATCACACATATCTTACAATAATCTCAATAATTGAATTAGATCAATCATTCTCAAATAAGATGAAACTATATAAAATGGGATATAAAATAATTGAATTTGAGATAAGATGATTAATCTTGAATTAACCCTTGAATTTACTTCTTTTTTTATTCAAACCAAAAATAGCTTAAAACTTAGCACGGCTACAAAACACGGTTTGGGTTAATGTCAACGACCCGTTTTGGTTATTTTGGGGCAAAACGAACCGTTTTGAGTTTAGTAAATATAAAAAGCAGTTTGGTCTTTCTTCGTCCCTGTTTTCCTTAAATTGCTTTTAGGGTTTGCAGAATTTCAATTTTCTCCCATATCATCGCAATTCCTCCCTCTTTTCCTTCTCTTCCTGTATTCCTCTATTTCAAGATTCCCTTCATTTTTCAGGTGAAACCTTCTTCTTACTTTTTCCCCTTTAATCATAAAATTGAAACTATGTAATTGAAATATAAGAACTTGATAATCGTTTTATTGATGATTGGTTAATCGACTGTTTTGTGATTTTGTTTGTTTTGCTTTTACAGGGGACTTTTTGTTTTGAATTTTTTTCCTCTTAATCGTGAAAAAATATCTTGTCGTCATTGGGGATCAGGTGTTGGGAGATGCCGAGAGACTTGTCGCGATCCCGATCGCCTCCTTATAGGCGTAGGCGTTCACCGTCTCCGGTGGGACACAGATATAGTAGGAGGAGCAGAAGAGATAGAAGCCGATCTCCGTATTCGTCATACTCACGTAGCAGGTGACCCTGTTTGGATGTTTATTTTTCTGTGATATAGTAGTAGTGTCTCTTATTGAGCCAGAATGATTGGGGATTCGTGCTTTTTCAAATTGTTTATCTTTAAAGCTTCATTTGTCGGTATTTTGCTGTAATCGTTTATTGATCAGAACATAAAATTGGGTAGTTATCACACTCTGAGGACTACAGAGCTATTGTGTATTTAAACTAAAACGTGGTGGTCGTTGTTGAACCCCATGGTTGATAATGCGGAATGTAATTTGAATTCAATATCTACTTTGTAGTTTGTTAATATTCAGCTTCTTTTATGTATGTCTTCGATTGGACAAGAATGGGTGGATTTGATTTCTTTTATTATGCCATTTGGACTTTGTCTGTGAAGCTCTTTGAGCATTTGGGAAACTGAATGAGTTGTATGCTGTTATGCTGGATGATTGACATCACTGATATTTAAGTATTTGAAGACCTTTTCATAAGTGTCCTGTGATGGTGTCACTTACTCTTATCACTTGTTAATTGTTTTTGGGTTTCTTTTTCTGTTTGATTTCCTATTTGTGTGTGGAGGTTGAAACTCATTAACAAAACATATATTGAGCATTATATAGAGAACAAGATAGGATATATGATATTCGTAACAAAATAAGAAACATCAGTTTCTTCCCATAACATGTCAAGTGAGGGATATGAACAGGTGGTCGGTTCTGATGAGTGTTTTTTCATTGCTCGATTGTGAGATTTGCTTCTTCGTATGATAAAAGATGGAGCACACCATGATTATTTTATGAGGTAACTGTACATGTTTCCGTATTCACATGCTAGATGGTGGGCTGGCTTTATATTCACATAAGATAGCTGTTTGGTTTTATGAGGGTCATTGCTTATGATCATCTATATCATCCCACAGGAGAAAAAGTCGTTCTATTTCACCAAGAGGGCGCAGAAGTCCTTCTACAACTACATGGCGTCGTAGAAGTCGATCTCCTACGGCGAAACGATATAGAAGACAAAGAAGTAGGAGTACCTCATTGTCTCCTGCTCATAGATCTTCCAGTTCAAGCCTTGGGTCAGTAGAGCAGAAAACTGCGATTGAAAAACAAAGGAAAGAAGAAGAGAAGAAAAGGTAGATTAAAAGTTTATCATTTTATTTTATTTCTTCCTTTTGTTCAATTTTATTTGATTTGCTCTTTAAGATGGAAACCATTAGTTGGCTCTTCTGGTTTTTATGGGAATTCAGTATTTTATGTGTAAATTATATTATATTGCTGAAATTTTAAAGCAATGACATTATTAATGCACATAACTCCAATACACAAAAGGTGCATTTATTGGTAAGAGTTAAGACACAGACTTGTTGGGAATTTGAAAGGAAGGTTATTATGGTTAACCTTTTAACCATTTACTTTCTTTTGTTAAATTGCTATGGCTGGAAATTGGAATGCTCTACTCTCAGGTAGGGCTGGAAATGAGTCGAGCCGAGTCGAACTCACCTCAGCTCGGCTCGACTCGTTAAGAATTGTTCGAGTTCGAGTTCGACACGAACTTTTTTTTAAGCTCAAACTCGACTCGACTCGTTATAAGTTCACGAACAGTTCGGTTCAACTCATTAGGTTCATCTCATTAGTTTCAACTCACATGATTCACGGACTTAAAAATTATTTTTTTAAATATATATATATTTTTCAGTATATTTGACATTTTAAATAAATATATTTTTTTAAAATAAAATAAAAGTTATCATATTGAAATTTAACTTTATCTTCGAAATCAACTAATTCAAAACCTACACAACTTTCAAGAGATACATTTGAGGGTCTAATTCAAAAACTACTAAATTGAAGATTAAATTTGTTTAAGATTTGAAGTAAATCTTTAAACCTAATCTTAAAGATAGTATAATTCTTCTCATATGTAATCGAGTTGACTCATGAACCTAACGAGTCGAACTATGTATAGTTCAAGTTCAGCTCATTTAGTTAATGAACTTAATTTTTCGCTCATACTCAACTCATTTGGTTCATGAACCTAGTTCAACGATTTAATTGTTGAATCGAATTTCAAACTATTTTCGAGTTGGTTCGGTTCATTGCCAGCCCTACTCCCAGGTCATCTATTAATTTGTATTATGATTAATTTCATCTTGTATAGAAAATGTTTGATATGATTCACGACATATGTACTAGGTAATAGAGATTTTCCCTGCTTTTGCTGGTATCACCTATAGGCTAAGGTCTATGCTATTATGTTTTTCCCCTATTGCTTCTCCACCCACTCCTTAGCCTTATAATATGAACATTATGATTTTGATTAGTTGATGGCTTTCTTGACTGTAATAAAAATAAAATAATAATCATGTAAAGGAATAGGATATTGCGTTTTTTCTTACACCTCATTTCTTATGAAGCAGAAAATATCTGTCTCCTTAGTGGGTGTCAGTACGTTCTTTCTTGAAGAGGCTTGTATGAATTTTCAGAGGGATTAGAAGCCATACATCTTTTTCTAGCTTTTTTCCACCTGTTCTAAGTGCTCGTTGTTTTTGGAGGATTTCTTACTCTCCTTTGCTTTTCCGTTTAGATATTTTCTTTCAACTCAGATAGGAAAATATTGCATCTTTCTTCTCTTTTTTTTCTCTGTTGTACATGTGATCTTAATTCTGGACTTCACCCTTGCAGGCAGTAATTAAAGTATTGAGTGATTGTGTCTCATAATTTATAACTTTTGAACCAGCTTAGCATAGCTTCCGTGGTTTACCTGGAAGTTGACTTATGGTTGTTTGTGGGAGTTTGATACTCCGCATTCACACCCACACCCCCATTTCCACCCCCTAGGTCTAATAAGGCATGCTGATTATCCAATTTATATAATTTTACTAAACTGAAAAGGTGATAAATCATTTATATTTATTACTTTCTGCTGCCAGAAGCCACATAGTATTTGTTGAGTCCCTGAATCTGTACGTGTTTCATCCTGATTGTTCAGACTGATTCTTTATCTTTTGTGAGATGGAAAATAATCATGTAAAGGAATAGGATATTGCGTTTTTTCTTACACCTCATTTCTTATGAAGCAGAAAATATCTGTCTCCTTAGTGGGTGTCAGTACGTTCTTTCTTGAAGAGGCTTGTATGAATTTTCAGAGGGATTAGAAGCCATACATCTTTTTCTAGCTTTTTTCCACCTGTTCTAAGTGCTCGTTGTTTTTGGAGGATTTCTTACTCTCCTTTGCTTTTCCGTTTAGATATTTTCTTTCAACTCAGATAGGAAAATATTGCATCTTTCTTCTCTTTTTTTTCTCTGTTGTACATGTGATCTTAATTCTGGACTTCACCCTTGCAGGCAGTAATTAAAGTATTGAGTGATTGTGTCTCATAATTTATAACTTTTGAACCAGCTTAGCATAGCTTCCGTGGTTTACCTGGAAGTTGACTTATGGTTGTTTGTGGGAGTTTGATACTCCGCATTCACACCCACACCCCCATTTCCACCCCCTAGGTCTAATAAGGCATGCTGATTATCCAATTTATATAATTTTACTAAACTGAAAAGGTGATAAATCATTTATATTTATTACTTTCTGCTGCCAGAAGCCACATAGTATTTGTTGAGTCCCTGAATCTGTACGTGTTTCATCCTGATTGTTCAGACTGATTCTTTATCTTTTGTGAGATGGAAAAGGAAATTGAGTTATAGCTATGATGTTTGATTTATTCGTTGTGCCACTGTAATTGTCAAATTATTAACATATGTTTCACTTATTTGTCGAGAGTTAGAATATCTATTTAAAAACAATGCAATTTTTGAGTAAAATAGGGTGAAATACTTCTCAAATTACATAGATTATTTGATCTTCACAACACTATAATAGGAACTTCGGTATTATGGGATGCTCGGTGGAGTATTTTAGTGGCTTGGTTCTTCCCCATTGATAGCTAGATATTAAGGAAGGCTTCCCCAGATGTTTAGATATTTATCACGCTCCTCCATCTTTGTGCTGCTAGATGTTTTTCCATCAATATACTTGCCAATTCTGCTTACTTCCGTTCCATTAATTTTCTTAAGAATAACAGATTACTTTTTTTTCAATCTGCATAAATCAGTTTGGAGGAAAATAACAAAAATGAATATCTGTTGAGAGTTTTGAGAGAAATTATAAATAACTAACCTTTGGTCAAAATACTTACCGTCAAAGAAAAATCACTTACAGGGCTAACTCGACCAATTATTGTTTCCGATGAAGGAATGAAGGGTTACACAAGATATGATTTATAATAGGAATCCTATTGTTAGAGAGAATATTCGGGTAGCTCTCATTGTAGAAAAGATGACAGAGTCTTGCCTTGGTTGGCTTGTGCATGTTTAGGGAAGATCTTTAGAACCACTGTCAAGGAGGTTCACCGGATATAAGATAAAATAAGGTAGGGAATGCCATGAAAAACTTTATGTCAACACAACTAAAAGATATCTAAAGATTAGCTATCTATCTTTAAACTTATTACTTTGTCTCTAATTATAAGTCACTTAGGGAAAAAATTTGCCCAAATTATAAGCCGTTTTATAATATTATTGGAACATTGTTTCTCTCCCTATCATACCTTTTACTGTTTTTATTACTCTCTCTTTCTCCAATTTTTTTAATCTATCTTTTCATACCATTAAAAAAAATGAAGGGTAATTTTGTAAACTAAATCATTCTCTTTTCCATACAACATTAACTATATTTTTAAAATTGTGTGAATTTGCCAAACTAACTTAAAATTTAGAACGGAGGAAGTAGATTATACGGTGTTATGGTGATGTTTTGTAGCTTTACCTCCATCTAGTGGGAAACTATGATGTTTTGTAGCTTTACCTCCATCTAGTGGGAAACTATTAAGGAGGGTAAGTCGTCTAGGATTTCATCTTTTTTTTAACACTGAGAAAGATAGTTGGACACTAGACCTTGTGATCCACCTCAAATGGTCTAGGGTAGCTGACTTACAGACTGGGTTCTAAGGTTGAGCATTTTTTTCAGTTCAGTCCTTTGGATGCGATGCTCATCCATTGTTGCTTTTCATATGTAGCTTAACCTTGGCATTTTATTAGAGGAAATAGTCATCTATGAAGACTAAAGATTATTTTCAATAGTATAATGTGTTGAAACATGGTTTGCCAATTGACTTGATGCTTTTATCACTTAACTAGCCAAAGATTTTGACCTATTTTACAACAACCAAGCTAGCAAGATGTATAATTCAAAAATTTGGTATTTCCATAATTAATTTAAAACTGCAGCATGTCACTTTAATTTCTTCTCCACAGGCTTATCTGAAGGAAGGTACTGCTATTATTCAACTTGTTATGTTTGATGATCAAATTGGCTGCCTCATTTATCTACTGTTCACCAGTTTTGAAACATTTGTTTGGATCAGGATTCAATAGAGGTATGCCTTAAAAGCATAACCATTTTTTAGTGCCTTTTGTCACCATGGAGGTTAGTTTGTCGTTGATTGTGGTTTTCTGTTGAGTAGTTTAGGAAAGTGTAAAAAGAAAAAAGGGCTGAATGTAAAACGGAGAAAAAAATTGGAAAGCAGACATGTTTATTGTTCTGTTTCTATATGAGATGCCGATGATAAACGATATTGAGGCTACTTATGTGTGGCATTCCCCCTGTTTGAGGATCCAGTTCCCTGCATAACATTTGGTTTGTTTTCACAGGCGTCAACAGGAAGGAGAGTTAAAAATAATAGAGGAAGAGACTTCAAAGTGGATTGAAGAAACTATTCGTAAGAGAGTTGATGAAAGCTTGAATTCTGAGGAGGTTCGGGTGGAGATTCAAAGACGGTTAGAAGAGGGAAGAAAGAAACTTATTGACGAAGTTGCTGCGCAATTTGAAAAAGAAAAAGAAGCGGCTCGTATTGAGGCTAGACAGAAGGAGGTATACATGTACTCTGATTAATTCCTTTTTTGCGATCAAGCCTGAAGCTATCAGAAAAGGTTATACTAATATTACTTATGCCGATTTGCAGGAACAAGCCCGTAAAGAGAAAGAAGAGCATGAAAGAATGCTTGAGGAAAACAGGAGGAAGATTGAAGAATCTCAGAGGAAGGAAGCATTAGAGCAACAAAGAAGGGAGGAGGAACGATATAGAGAGCTAGAAGAGCTTCAGAGACAGAAAGAAGAAGCCATGAGAAGGAAGAAACAGGAGGAGGAACAAGAGCGGATAAACCAAATAAAGTTATTGGGAAAAAACAAATCACGTCCAAAATTGTCATTTGCTCTCGGATCGAAATGACCCTTGTGCAAGTATTTTTTCAGTTTATCTGTAGTGTTTGTGCTTAAATCTGTATTTTGCATATGCAATTTAAGAAAACTACACAGCCTCCTTGGCAACACTGTGACATCATCATTACTGTTTCCAATATGCATTAGATTTGATTTTCTCATAGCAACTTAATTTTCCATATACGAGTCTTTGGCTAGTACTACTATTTCCTGTGAAATTTAGTATTAAACTGAGTCTACTAACATTTGCATCCTCTATGTAGCTCATCTAAAAGTTCTTTGATGACCAGAATTGGGAATTTGTGTGGTACGGTGGCTTTGTTCAAAGCTCTATACTCTATACACCACACCCTTCATGTGCTATCTTTCTTCTTAATGAGAATTTACGAGTTTCAGGTGGTGCTTAGTGTTTCGCTTATAAATCAAAAATGAGTTTCAGGCGTCTCTCGTTTTCTGTAGTACGAGTCTGATTTCATTGTTGTATGAGCAATGATTATATTCTTTCTAATTGGACTTAATAAGTATGCTTTTTTTTGATTTTTTTTTTAAATTTATATTATAACTATTGTTATATTTTAATAGGATGTGCGAATTGAATTGGAACGTACTTTTAACAAAATTTTATATAATTACAGGTGCCATGTGAACTATTTTTTCACACCTCTTTAATTTTTTCTAACTTTTTTTGTTTATTTATTCTAACATGAGTATTATATTTTGTATTCGAAAAACAAGCCTTTCATGAAGACCCGTTCTTGAATTTCTACTTGCCATTGCCCATCTTTTCTCATTCTTTATTGTTAAGAAAAAATTGAGAATTCAAGTACCATAACTGATTATCACGAGGGTATAATCAATTACCGCTGTGTGAAAAAGTAACAGAAAAAACTGAAAGAGAAAATTTTTGAATTTGTAATCAATTACGCATTCGCAGGAACCTGAATAACCGATTACCACTTTTATGAAATTATTTTTTGTTTTAGATATAATTAATTTCAGATTTTGTGTAACTAATTACAATTAGTTATTTTCTGTTTTTAGTTTATGTTACTTGTATCCCAATTCAACTATTTTGTGTATGAATGTCAAGGGACATTCTCATCTATTATTAATAAAAATTTAAAATTTTCATCTTGAATTACTCTTACAATTCTCTCTCTCTCTCTCTCTCTCTCTCTCTCTCTCTCTCTCTCTCTCTCTCTCTCTCTCTCTCTCTCTCTCTCTCTCCTCTCTCTCTCTCTCTCTCTCTCTCTCTCTCTCTCTCTCTCTCCTCTCTCTCTCTCTCCATTATTCATTAATTTTGTGGTTCTAAGTTCTAACATTTGACATCAAAAGCATGGTTCTGATCCACAAACACCTAGTGTGCAACATGAATTTTCTCTTCAATGAACGAATCCCTGCAAACCTACTCATCATTGATGCGAAGAATTATGACAAATGGTGCAAACAAATGAAAGTGTTGTTTGGCTACCAAAATGTTCTTGAAGTGATTAAGAACGGGGTGAATCCTTTTGTCGAAGGTGCAATAGATGCACAACGAGCAACACGTAAGAAGAGAAGAAGAAAGATTTCAAGGTGTTGTTTTTGATCCAACAATGTGTGGAATGGTGGCAACTTTGAGAAAGTTGGTGATTGCGAATCATCGAAGCAAACACGAGAAATTTTAGAGGAGGCTTATGCAGAGGATGATAAGGCGAAGGTGGTGAGGTTACAAACTCACAAACGTCAACTTAAATTGATTCAAATGGAGGAGAAGGAGACCATAAACGATTTCACAACGGGAATCACTCGATTAATGAATCAAGTCAAGGCATGTGGAGACACAGTCACATAGCAGTATGTTGTTGTGAAAATCTTGCATTATTTAACACCAAGATTTGACAATGTGGTCGTAGAGATTGAGTAATCGAAGGATCTTGCGACAATGAGCAAAGATGAGCTACAACGCTCTCTTGTGGCTCATGAGCAAATGATGGAAGAGAGAAATAATGATAAAGAAAAGACGAAGATTGCTTTGCTAGCTCATTCCAATGAGAAGGACAAGATATCGAAAGAAAAATGGCCCATGAAAAGTAAAGGGAGTTTTCAGAATTTTGGTGGAAGATAGTTCCAAAGTTCCAAAAGTTCGACTTGTCAAAGGGGTAAAAGCAGATGCAACAAAAATGGTGGTCAAGGAAACTTTAGAGATGAAAGGAAGAGGATTGACAAAATTAAGATGCAGTACTTTAATTGTCAAATGTTTGATCATTTTGCAAGAGAGTGCTATGTGAACAAGAAGGAACCTCAAAGGGATGAAGCCAAGGTTACAAGACACGGGTTTGATGAGGAGAAAATGTTAGAACAAGATTTGTTCATGACATATTTTACTTGGATTTTGATGATAACAAAGTATTGAAAGAACAATGGTTTATTTGGTGTGTGTTACATGTGTGCAGGTTTTAATACTTATAAATATTATTGTCAAAATATTTTCTACATTAAGCACACTTGAGAGTTCCTGAATTGTGAGCTTATGGTGGCAGAGTCTGAAGTACACTTACTAAGTGATGTCTGGCGACGACTCTAAAGCTGAAGGTCTCAACATCAGAAAAAGCAACATTATTGTCTTTACACTTAGTGAATGCAAATCGGCTTCTGATACCATTCAGAGTTGGTGATAAAGCTGAAGCTGTCCGTACTGCAGAAAGCAATGTGTATTGTCAAATTAGTTTGTCAACTAGAGTTTACAGATTGCAAGGCTCAAGAAAGACTGAGATGCTTTATGGATATCTACTCTCAATGACTCTAATAGTACAAAATTTCTTAAAGACTCAAAGGTTAAACATGTTACACATTGGATTAAGATCTTCTAGTGTATCTATCTTCAACAGCTCTTGTACTATGGAGTAACAACAAAGACTATTGATCAAGTTACCTCTTCAACGACTAGTTTATAAAAAAACTATAAATATGGCTGAAGGTTCAAACCAAATCTTTAACAAGGATCAACCAGAAGAAGGAGTAACAAGATCAGCAATTATCAACTCATTGTATATGCAGATTTTTCTGATGTAGGTTGTAATTGTAAAAGCCTTAAGATTTCTTACACATTGAATATCTTAGAAATCTTAAGTGCTTTAGGTCTTTATTATGGTGATTTCCTGTACCTCTAATACTTGTATCATGTACACCTTGTTCTCTATTCTGCTGAGCTTGTTCAACAATTTAGATAAAAATCCCGTGTAATTGGGATACAAGCAAGGAAGCCTCGAGCCAAGATGCTTGAGCCGCGTAAGTATCTTGCTATGTGCTTGAGCTGTGAAAGTCTTAATCAAGTGGATTGATTGAGCATAAGTCTTGTATCATTAGGATACAAGCAAGGTAGTCTCGAGCCAAGATGCTTGAGTCACGTAAGTCTCTTGCTATGAGATTAAGTAGTGAAATTCTTAATTAAGTAGATTGATTGAGCAAGAAAGTCTTGAGCCAGTGTGGCTTAAGCAGGATAACTCGGTTCACGAAATTTGGAGTAGTAAGTCTTGACCGAAGGGGTGCAAGTGGAGGCTCATTTCATGGAACCTGGAGCAGAAGTCTTGAGCCTGAGAGGCTTAAGCATGAATGCTTAGTACATGGAATTGGAGCAGTAAGTCTTGGCCTGAGAGGTGCAAGCAGAGAGACTCGTTTCATGGGACTTGGAGCAGAAGTCTTGGGTTGAGGTCTGAGCAAGGAAATCTTGGGTTCATGGAACATGAACAGGTTGTCTCAAGTGAGGAGCTTGAGCAGAAGTCTTGGACCTTGGGTCTGAGCAATTGTAAAATCTTATGTAGAATGCATAAGCGATTGTAATCATGATTTGATTATAGTGAAAATATCTTGTGAAGCAAGGGGTCTGGACTACTCTCAGTTAGAGGAGGAACCAATATAAATCTTTGTGTCTTCTGCTATTATTTATTTGCTTATGTTAACATTTCGCTGCTAAGAATTAACCAGAATTTGAACACTAGTTTAGGTTCTGAACTCTGGTCAAATGCAAACTAAGAAAACGGAAAACACAATTCAAACTCCTTCTTGTGTACTTTTCTCACCTTCATGAAACACACTTGTTCGTGATCACAAAAAGGTAGTGCAACAATAATCGGCTACTGGACAACAACATTGATTTTGGAAACGTTGTAAAAGCATGCTATAACAAGTTACGTAAATGCTGTATCCAGTTATAGGCAGAAGAAAATGTCTTGATGAGTACAAAATATTCAATTCAGTGAAACAAGGAATGGTATTTGAACTCCAGGTGTTATACTCATATGAGGGGGAGTAAGGATTGACTTGTTAAAATCAATTGTGCCATGAAGAACAAAGTAAAGTTCGCGGATAACACCACTCTAGCGGCCGATGAGATCATTGATATTTTGATGACGAGAAGATGGCAAACATTCCTTGATCAAAAATATATTGTGCATTCCAGAAATAAAATGAAACCTTCTAATTATTAGCCAATTGCTTAAGAAGGGTTACAAGATTCACGTGGAAAACAAGGGGCTAGACGTTGTGGATGTAAACATGGTTTTTGTCCTTAAAGCTCCTACGGTTGCCAATAGGATCCTAAGATACGTCAAAGGATCGATTGGCTGCAAAATTCTCTTCCTGATAGAGGACACGAGTAGAAAATGAAATTTACTCGGTTTTACCGATTCCAATTGGTGCATAGTTAAAGATGATAAAAAGTCTATAATTGGATACATCTTTATGTTCGGCAGAACACCAATCTCATGGTGTTCGAAGTAGGAATCGGTAGTAACACTCTCATCTTGTGAGGTCGAGTACATTGCTGCTTCGTTGTGTGTGTGCCAAGCCGCGTGGCTAATGAATCTATTGAAGGAGTTAGACAACAACAAGGGTGACGTTGTTGCGCTCCTAGTTGACAATGTTTTTGCGATTATTCTAAGCAAGATCCCTATTGCACATAGGAGGAGCAACCACATTGAGATGGGATTTCACCACTTGAGGGAACTTATTAGTGAAGGAAGGTTGAGA